CCCCTCCTGTCTCCACCAGCCCGCTCAGCACTGCTCTCCTCATATGCTTCTCGTTTGTTGGGAGTATCACAGTCTCACAGGACCTGTATTTCCATCGAAGCTCGGACACCAGTCCTCTGACCCCCCCCCCCCCTTTGTTGGTTTTACCTGACCCGAGGAGGAGGAGGAGGAGGAGAGTTTGAGGAAAGGACTCTGGACTCTCCTGCAGATGGAGGTGGTGATGTTCTCCCCTGCAGCTCTGGTGTCCGGTGAAGATGTGATGGTGAGCAGGGTGTGCTGTGTTCGCAGAGAGGGAGCGTGATGTATGTGATGGGCTGCAGAGCGCAGTGTGGATAAAGTGTTCCTTGAGGTTTACGTAACCCCTGCATTAGTGGGAAGACACAGTAACCACCTCCAGATGTGTGAGCGTGCAATCTGACTGATTATTTACAACGAGACCAATGAACATCGCCCTCCTCGCATCATGAGCCTTAATCTTTGCTCCTTTGTCAGTGCCCAAGTTAATGCTTAATCTTGGTACAGACCATTAATAGCTGAGGCCAAGCCCTGTTTATGGGAGGAAGGTTCCTTGGATGTGCACGGATCAGATGTTTCAGAGGAGCACAGGCTCAGGGACTCATCACTCTCAACTCTACCAGCTGAGCGACCGGACCTTCAGGACTGAGCCACGGGAGCAGCCACCATGTCGTGGAACTCCTGCAAGTCCAAGCTCCTCGCCGGGGCCTTTGTCGTCCTGACGATCTCCATCATCGCCGGCATGGCCATCATGATCATTTTCTACCAGAGTCAGATCTCCGCGATGAACCCGACGCCCCGTCCGACCTTCGCGCCCACCACCACGGAGCTGCCACCTGAAGGGCGGCTGCCAAGGGACCTCGTACCTGAGAGCTACGAGGTCGTCCTGCAGCCTCACTTCTACACCCGGATCATCGAGGTGGAGAACGTCACCAGTCCCAACCAGACGAGCCACTTCACCGGAAACTCCACGGTCAACTTCAAGTGTGTCCAGAAGACGAGCAGCATCTTCCTCCACAGCAAAGGCCTGGAAGTTTCTGACTCCATGGTGAAGAACAGAGACGACGTGGATGAGAAGATACGTTCCTCCGTGGTGTATCCTGGGTACTCTGATTTTCTGGAGATCCAGCTGAATGTGGCGTTGGAGGCAGGAGGAAACTACAGCTTGTTTCTGAATTTTAAGGGAGAGATGACGGACAATCTGGAGGGGCTGTACCTCAGCACGTATTCAGAAGGTGACTCTGAGGAGGAAGGTTATATGAACACAGTGAGGTAAAGTAAAAGTTTAAAGCTTTAAAATTTCTTTGAGCAGAATTTGTGATCATTGCATGTCCTGGTGTCTGTAGAGAAATGAAACAACTGTCAGATGAATCTGTTTGACAGTTTGAGTAAAAACTTGACGGATGATCGTGAAACTTGGTGGAAGGATGTCGTCAGGAAAGAACTCAGGAAATGTTGGTTTGAATACGGATCAGGAGGCAGATCCAGGATTTTGTTCTTTAACATTGAGACGTCAGGTGTTTGTTGACATTTTCTTTGATTTATCAGAGAATAAATTAAGATAATCTGACGTGGGACTGACAGTTTAAAATAACGTGACTGATCACTCAGAGAGCTTTATTCATTGGTAAAGAATCCTGAGACGTTTTAGTTCTTATGGAAAATAAACTTTAAGTGAAGTTTGATTTTAGCCAAAAAACATAAATCATATCTAGATTGTCTTTTTTTTGTTTTCCCAGACGTCCCATTTACCAAACTGAGGAATCGTCTGTTCTGTCGTCGGTGTGTTCATGACTCCTCTTCTCTATATTTGCATGATAGTGAAGAACAGGGAAACAGAATCGGGGGAGACCGGCAGATAATCATTTACAATGTGAATCATAAAAACTGTGTTATCTACAACGTGGTGTTCGGTGCTTGTGAGACGTGCAGTTTGCAAATTAAACATTTGACCAGTTCACATTAGAAGCTTCTGTTGAGTTTAAAATGATGTTAATGAATTTCATGTACCAACGTTTTTTTCGTTGGCGTTCCAGTCGTTGCTCCGACTCCGTTGAATTTCCCCCGTTGGAAACTCGTTTCTCAGATTATTTTCTGACGCACAGTTTATTACCTTGTGTCTCTTCCCTGTTTCTCTTCCCGTCTCGTCGTGTTTCTTGATTCTGTGATTGTGTGCCCCGCCCTGTGTCTCTGAGTCCTCGTCCTGCCCTGTTCGTCTTCTACGCTCGTGTTTCTCTTCTCCTTCCTTTATTCTACTTGTTGGACTCTCTGTTTGTACCACACCGACCACAGGCTGTAAATAAAGATGGACGACATGTCTCCACTGCCCGTTGTTCAAAATGAAGCTTTTCATATCATCGAATAAAAACTTAAAACCAAACTTCACAGCAACATCCACACTTGAACATCCATCGGGTCGTAACCTGAGGCCGTCAGAGAAGATCCTGTTCTCCACCGTCCCGGCTGAGGCCTTTTCTGTTAGAGCGCCCCCACTCTGCGTTACCGTGTCCCTGAGGAGACCCGTCTGTCAACCTCCTTATCCTCTTTAAAATCTCTCCGAAAGACACTCTCTCCTTTTTCTGTCTATTTTAATCATTTGACATAATGTTTTATTTCATCTTGCTCATCTTCGCTTCTCTTGCTTTTTAATAGTTTCTTATCGTTTCCCTTCCGTTTTTCATTTTCCATTCGTAAAGGTTTATTTCTTGTTATGATGACGATCATTATTATCACTAACACAGGACAGACTGGCTTTTGTTCATTTGTCTGTTTGTGAAATCCAGGACTCTCTGTGTCCTGGTCTTGTCAGGTCGCTGTAACTGATCCTTTTGTAACGACGGCCCACACATTGTGCTCGTGTGGGTTAAATCTTCTTTATATTCAGTTCTGTTCCAGGAAAATATTCCCTCAGTCCCTTCTCACTGGTGTTTTGTTCTTTCTCCTTTTCTCTACGTTCATTTAAATTCATAGAGTCAAACTGTGGAATCTGTGATGTTGCTCAGCTGTTGTTGGTCCCAAACGTGCATCTGGCTTCCTGTGTGTGTTACAGACTCACAGTGACATTATCAGAGTTCATCAATTGAAACGAATACACCACATGTTCTTTATAAAGTCTGAATCCCACCTCCTGTGTCTCGTGTTCCTTCAGTTAATGAACCTGATGCACTAACTGACCGTCCTTATCTGTCTTCATAGATATCTCGCCGCCACCAACATGGAGCCGACGTCTGCCAGGAGAGTGTTTCCTTGTTTCGACGAGCCGGATATGAAGGCCGTGTTTCACGTCGCCATCATCCACAGGAAAGACACCTTTGCTCTGGCAAACGGTGAAAAAATAGGTGAAAAAACCACAAACACTCAGGTGATCATGGACAATAACTCCTCTGGTCACATCGCAATTCAAGATAAATGTGAACACAAAATCAAAGACGTCCGTCCTCATCTCGGCTTTTCTCCTTTGCACCGTCTCAGACACCAAACCCATAGAAAATGAGTGGCAGCGCACTCGTTTCAATCCGACGCCGAGGATGTCAACGTACCTGTTTGCCATCGTGGTTTCAGAGTTCACGTCAGCTTCCTCCCCACATCATCGAGCGGACATTAAAGTAGGTTTATTAGTATTCTAGGTGAATTATATTTAGATGTTTTTATGGTGTCGACCAATAAACTTTTTAAATATTCTTCTACAAACAGTTGGAAATTTAAGGTCTGCTGACTAAACTCGTTCCAGACAGTGGTTTATATTAAAATACCGTTCAGCACAATGAACAGAAATCATGAACCCATATTCATGTTTCCTGACCTGTGAGAAGAATTTAATATTTCGCTCCTACAGTTTTGTTTTTTGTTGATAAAGTTGGAGTTAATAAAATGTAGTTTGAAATAAAAAAAAAATGCTGGCACCTCGTTCGCTTTACGTTTCCTCTGTGATTTTCTCCTGCAGACGTTTGCTCGTCCCGAGGCCATCACAGCAGGAGACGCTCAATATGCAGCCAACATCACCGGGAAGATACTCCAGTTCTACGAGGATTACTTTGGAATTGACAACCCGCTGAAAAAGCTGTGTAAGACAATTAACATATGACCCAGGATTAAACACACACACTCACAAATAAAGGGTCATGGCCTCCTCCTCCTCCTCCTCCTCCTCCTCCTCCTCCTCCTCCTCCTCCTCTTCCTCCTCCTCCTCTCGTTTTGTTGAGAACATATTCACCTCTCGTTATTTGAGTCAGGGCTCATCGATGTAGGTTTTCGATGGATGGAGCCTGACTCTGCTCCATCAGCTGATTGAGACGTTCAGAAGCTGCACAATCGTTTCCATTTCCCTGAAATCACATGATAAAGTTACAGCTACAAAACTTTTTGTAAAACTTTTTTTGTAATTTTGGGATCTTGACCCCAAATTTTCCGTGTGATTGTGTCTGTTCTTCTGTCTTCCTGGATTCAAAGTGTGTTTCCCTTAATGTGTGTACTTCCTCTGCTCTAAGTATTTTGTCCTTCACCGTAGAAGAGGTAGTTTGAGTTGATTGTTCTCAGCCGGTTGTAACATTTGTCCACATCTTTGTGATTCCTTCAGACCAAATCGCTCTGCCAGACTTGAACCCTGCTGCGATGGAAAACTGGGGACTGGTCACGTACCAGGAGGGACTTCTGCTCTTTGAGGAGGGGGTGTCCTCGTTTCTGCACAAGGAAACGGTCGCGTCTCTGATTGCACATGAACTAGCTCATCAGGTTAGAGGAAGAGGAATTCTGTGTTTTCACCTGTGACCAAAACTATTATGATGTGAGATCATTCTTACGGATCACGGACCTGACTGTGATCTGTGTTCTCCTGTGAATGGATTCAGGAAGCGTTAGACGAGAGTGTTGATGATTTTTATTCCCATTTCTTTGACAGTGGTTTGGAAATCTGGTGACGATGAAATGGTGGAATGAAATTTGGCTGAACGAGGGCTTTGCCAGCTACATGACCTACTTTGCAATGGATGCCGTCGAGCCGTCATTCAAAATGGTGAGTTGACAGGTGGAGGAAAGAAAACTAAGCTTTCCAGCTTGTAATTTATAAATGTGCCGAAAACGGAGCTTGATGCAAATAAGCGAAGTCGTGGGAGTCGTGTGACATGTAATAATAATAATAAACACAAACAACAAAGTGCTTCACGGCAGGCAACACAAGACAACACAACTACAAACCACGTGTGTTTGTTTCCTGCAGAAAGACATTATTATCATGAAAGACCTGCAGAAGGCGTTCGCGGAGGACGCTCTGGCCTCATCACATCCCCTCACTCCTCCGCAGGAAGAAATCCAGACAACTTCTGAGATCATGAACATGTTTGATTCAATCACCTACAGTAAGGTACGGAGTCACACCGCCACGGAGGCAACATCAAAACAGCTCTGACTTTGTACTGGATGTTTATATTTCTTAATCTCTTTCACGATGGGTACTGATGTCCACATGCTTCTGGTATTTGTTTACTCTGCAGGGGGCCCTTTTGCTGAGATTGCTGGCAGACATCGTGGGTCAAAACATTTTTGACCAAGGAGTCAAAGTAAGAAATAACTTTTAACGTCCTCTCAGATCGGCTGAAGTCGAGCTGAAATCTTTAGAAACGTCCCCGAACAAACAGTGTTAGTACATCTCAGGCTCCATGGACACATTTCTACTTCCTCCCGCTGTGTAAAAATGAAGCCAAAATATCCCAAATACAGGTGCAGCTGCCATCTTGCACATTAAAACCACAGTTTCAGTCTCAGCTGTAATTATCAACTTTCACCCACTCAAGTAACTTCCTAGAACGTCCCTCAGTTGAGCTCTTGCCTCCGTCAAGGCCCTCAAATTAAACCAAGCTGCACCAAATTACACACACTCATAGATATCTGTCCCCTAAATGTGCCGGGTTTTTTTTAAAACCATGACTTGTTCCTTTGGGAAAGGAAAAAGAGATTCCTGGATCTGCACCAAAATGTAATGGCTTCTTCCCCCGACGCACACCGCATCTGTAATCTTGCTTACAAACAAACAAACACAGGCACAGCGTGAAAACACATTCTGCTCGTCGGGGTTCATGAAAACCGAACTTACCAGAGAAATGAAAAATTAAACTAAATCTATGTGTGATACTGCAGCCAGCAACCAGGGGGCGATCAGGAGGATTCGGCTTCACGTTCCATGTTATCCATCTTCATATAAAGTCGTCTTAATGAACTTAACGAGCTCTGCAGAGTCCTGGCAAAGCCTTTTTTTATTTATTTTTTTGGCTCACCATAAAGTATGACTTATACGACATGGGTGGGGAACCAAACCACCACACCAAAGTTTTTATAATTAGATGCTTTAATTGGCAGTGAGAAAAGTAAAAAAGAATTTCCGCGTCAGAAATCGCATGAACACCCTGTAATATAGTGAAACCCTGGTACCAACCGAAGGGTTTCTGAATCCAAGAAGCTCCGTCGCTTCCTGTTCGGAGACGCAAACCTTCCTTCAGCAGATTGATTTGCTTCGTGGCTTCTTCAGAACAGGTGGTGTCACAACACAGAGAGAGTTCTGATTGGTTCTGGGAATAAGTCGCTGCAGCACGTTTGTGGCTTGTTGCCGTGTTTGTTTGCTGTGACTCGTCCTCACATCATTAGTCCTCGAGCATGCACTGCAGATGTCACACAGTCGAGCGGATGCATTCTGCGTGGTTTCTGTGTGGTTGCGCGGTTGCGGTTGCGGTGAGCTGTCAGCGTTCAGACGGGAACCCTCAGCCCTGCTCTGCACTCAATTCCCTGGTAATCCATCAAAAGCCCTCTCCCAGATCGGAATGGTCGTGCCCTCAGTTACACAACGTTATTTGAGCGTCAGCGGACAAATATTTCATCATATATCAAAATTGTAATTTGTTGACAATAACATGGTATTACTGTGTCTCCGGGGTCAAACATTCCAACATCTGGTTTTAATCTGTGGCAAAGGGAGAACACAAAGACACAGTTCACAATCTTCAGTGAGAGCGTTTTGTTTGTTTCCTGCAGAGAGCGGAACATGAGTTTATGACGGAGACGGCAGGTGCAGGAATATGAAACAAATAAACTCTCAATACAAACTTTCCTCAGGGAATTCATTAGTCAGAATGCAGGATGAAACTTTATTAACTACAACCTCTCTCTCTCTCTCTCTCCCTCTCTCTCATTCCCTCTGTTTTTGTGTTGCAGAAGTACCTCTGGGACTTCAGCTATAAGAACACTGACCAGAATGACCTGTGGGATCATATACAAAAGGTTAAATCCTCAATTCAGTCCAGATTCTTAACGAACTCTCCATTGCTAATTTTCAGCATCCCTTGATTGAGATGACAAATATGTTCACGCTATTGTCTGAATGATTGTTGCTAATGCTGCGGTATGTACGTGGTAAATCTAGATTGACATGTGGCGTGTTTTCAGGTCGTAGATGAGGATGGTGGTTACACCCAGGTTAAGGTGGTGATGGACAAATGGACCAAACAAATTGGCTATCCCGTCATCAACATCGACACGAAGAGCGGAGAGGTCTACCAGAAGCACTTCCTGTTCAATGACTCTTCTGAATCGAGGTTTGAGCTGAAGACACAGTGATGCTTCGACCGATCTCTTTGAGCAAATCACTTCACAGTTTGTTACGACCGATGATGATGCTAAAGATCAGTAAAATGATGTTTACAGTGTTAAATAAGCTTCACATGTTGGATCTACTCCCACGTGTGTTTTCCAATCGTCCTCCTGTAAAAGTCTTAACGAAAACGTGAACATGACGCATTGAATCATAGTCAGAGTGATAGTTTGCACGAGGTTTAAATTATTATTTAAAAAAACAAGTAACTCTGAATGTGGAGTCCCACAAGGTTTAGTGCTGGGCCCCACAGTTTCCATTTTAGAAAGCAGAGCTACATTTATCAACCCTTCAAGCCTCTTCTAGCATCTTTCAGCTAATTGTTTTGGATTTATTTACCGTTTTGATCCAGTCCCGCCTAATTTCCAGAGTGGACGGCTGATTTCGATGGAGAACCATCAATGCACACCAACTGCACCAAACAGCAGACACACAAAGTCGGCGACCGGCTTGTGACTACAGCGACTAGATGTAACGTGAACATAAAAACTGTTTGTGCAGGTTTAGCAATAATTCAGTGTCAGGCGTCAGTATGAGACAGAAGTGTGACAATTGCGTCAAAGTTCGTTTCCGTTTGTGGTCAGTTTAGATAACGTTCATATGTTTTATTAATAATATGAACAGTGATTAGAAAATCCTCCCTCAGAATGAAATGAGTGCTTGGATTTACCTCCACTCTCTCTCTCTCCTCAGACCAAAGTTGAAACGTTTATCTGTCGTCAGGTGACATCATCACTTTACAACGTCGTGAGAACAGTCGCCTCCAGTTTCTGCTGAGCGCTGAAGACAACCGGGTTTAAGATCGAGGAGATGAACATGAGATAAGACTTTAGGAATACTGAAACCCGGTCCAGATATTGCTCTGAATGTGCACTTTTGGTCTGAGCTTTGAGTTTTCTGACTGTGGAGACCGACTTTTTAAACCAACACGCAAAACTTTACAGTCTCTGTGAGAAGAGCGAGAAGCAGAGAAACATTCTGAAGCAGACAAAAGGGGGGAAATTGATCTGAGCCATTTCACAATGTTGCTTGTAGCCAGAATAACAATTTGGAATGTCCTGAGAAAGAAAGAGACGACTGTTGAACTGAGAAACAGACTCGAACAGGTCGACAGTGTAAGACAACAACACTAAGAGAGCTGTGACTAAGAAACCCCGAAACAAGGGAAAGTGGTCAGTGAAGGTGTTTCCATCCATTGTTCGGTGACGACTTAGAGCAGACAGGAACAATTTGAAGTAAAAAAAAAAAAGGAAACTGTTGATTTGCCCGGACACGGCAGGTTGTTGGGGACGGCTGACGTACAACAAAAACAAAGGACTCGTCCGTGTTGTCCCAAGTGATACTGTTGACATGTGGAGTGTTCTAAAGCAACGGTTTCTAACTATGAGCTGCACAACACTGTCATGCTGCAAAACAAAAGAATTCAACACAATGTCTATACTGCAGATATCTCAGTATATTTTGAATCATTGTTTTTCACTGTAAAATGTATAATAATAAATATAATAATCATCTGTATCCTATTATAAATATTTATATATATATATATATATATATATCACTATAACCTGTTTTTCTTTCTGTCCTCCTTTCAGTCTTTGGTGGTACGTCCCGATCAGAGTCATGTCAAACACATCTGAATCGTCTCTCATCTGGTTGGAAAACAACAAAACAGGTAACACACACACATAAAAGATTGTCCGACATTTCCAGTGAGTGAAGAATCATTCAAACCGAAGTTTGTCTTCTGAACAGAAAGGATAGACCAGTTTATTTCCAAGAACGGAGAGTGGATCCTGGCAAATGTGAACTGCACTGGATACTACAGAGTCAATTACAACCTGGAGAACTGGGACGTCCTCCTGAGTCAGATGGAAGAAGACCCAGAGGTGAGTCCTGCAGCAACTCAGCAAGATCTGGTCCATACATGTTCCACACTTCACACAGAGGGGACAAGAGCATGTCCAACATCCATGAATACCAGTGTCGCTTCTCGTTCACAGTTTCTTAGCCACAGATCTTTAAATAAAAAGAACCATCAACAAGTATCACAGGATAAATGAAGAGTCTATGAATGAATCCTCCTCTGAGGAACACGAATGTCTGTACAAAGCGTTTAAATAGTTGTTTAGACCGAGATGTGGAGCAGAGTGGTGGACGAACCGAGAACAAGTAAAAAGCCTCTTGACAGCTATGATAGAATTAATAAAATATAACATTCACTAAATTCTTCTTTGGTTCTTTTCTTCTTTCCCTCGTCTTTTATTTTTATTTTTTCCAGCGGATCCCACTGATGAACCGAGGGCAGCTCATCGATGATGCATTCAACTTGGCAAGGTACCGACTCTGTCCACACATCCTGACCCGATGTCGTCCTCTCAGTCCGTGTGTTGTGAACCTGAAGGAGATGATCCAGTGATGGAGCGCTCGCTCTTCAGCTAATAATGTGCAGCTCCTATAATCATAAACAATATTTCAATAATAATAATAATAATAAGTGTGACTGAAGTTTTTAAGTAATTCAAACTTTTGTCTAAACAGGAACGACAATGAGAGGAACGTCTCCTCTTCCATGATAACCTGAAAATATACATGAATCAATAATCCATCAGAAACTGATTTTAAACACATGAGCATATGAACTTGTATTTAAATAACATAGAACTGGTATAATTAAAGCATTTAAAGCTACGATACCTCACGTGAATGAAGTAAGTTGAATTAAAGCAAATGTTTCCGCTGCCCTGAGTTTGTGAAGGAGATTTTTAAAAGATGATTTTTACTTCTATCTGCTGTTTTTTGAATTTGTGTGCAGCATTAAGTTTAAACCTCAGAGCTGACGCACGACGATTCTCAAGTTTTTGGAACGAGTGCGATGTGAAGTCAGGCCGCAGTTAATGAGATGGTAACCAGGACGTCTGCCAGGAAGAGCTTTTATAATAACATGTACTTAGAAATGAAGTTGTGTGACAGAGCTGAGTGAAGGACTCTAGATATTTTGATCTGGTGTCTCGGTGTCTTTCTCTGTATCTTAAAAAATATACGTTTGAAATATGTTGACGACTCGTCGGCCACTCCGATCTTTTGTTTTCCTCAGGGCCAAACTTGTCGACGTGACTCTGCCTCTGAATTTGACGAGATTCCTCCGCAATGAGACGGAGTACCTTCCCTGGGAGTCAGCCATGACGAACCTGAGGTACTTTGTCCTGATGTTTGACCGCACCGAGGTGTACGGACCCATGCAGACGTACCTGCGGGAACAGGTCACGGGGCTGTACAACTTCTTCAAGAACTACACGGACCATTCCCAAGTCCCGAAGGAGCACTCCTCACAGTAAGGAACAAACATACATACATAAAGGTAATATCATTCAGATTTATCTTTAGCCTCAAGTTCGGCCTCTATCGTCGCGCACGAGGCCAAAACACATCTGAAGTTATCTGCCAGTAGCTGATAACTTAAATTGTGCAGAAGACCCTCAGAGAGATTTTCACCATCTTGTCCTATTTTCTAAAACAAGGAGACATCTGATGTTTTTTTCAGTATTTCTGTCCACCAGTCTGTTATGAAGGTTTGAATGTAAAAGTTCTGCAAAGTTAAAAAGCCCATTTATTTTTGCCGTTATTTAATATCTGTAATATAACATGAGATGATTCTGCTTCCTCCCAAGATACAACCAGATCAACGCCGTGTCGGTGGCCTGTTCCAATGAACTCCAGGAATGTGTGACGATGGCTAAAAGGATGTTTGCCCATTGGATGACAATCGGCACCAACATGTACAAACTTTACTGGATGAGTATATATTTGAAATCAGCTGTAACGTGTGATTCTGTCGTTGAGTGAATGGTCTAATTTTAATAGTTGTCATTATATTCTGTAGCTTTACTTTGCAGCAGCGGCTCAGTGAAGGTAGGTGTGGTTTTATCGTGTTTTTGTCTCATGTGTTGATGGTTGTTGTCAACGCGCTGCATCGTGGTTTGTCGTTAAAGCTGCACTTGGTAGAAGTTCTACGTTGACGTGAATTCCATCGTATTTGTATTTGCTCATCACTTCAGCACACATGCATGTTCTGTATGCACATGTATGGACGTGTGTTACTATGTGTCAATGCATTTGCACTTGCTTACTTTTGTATGTGGATGTGTCACGTGCAGTATCCAAATCAAAGAGTCGCTATCCGAGCTCAGGGTGTGAGGATAGACGATGTTTGATGCATGGACTGTGAAGCTCTGAGGAAAAGTCGATATCCGAGACATCGTTTGCTTTATTTTAAAGATTTAAGCTTGTGATCTAAAGTTCATGGTTTATTTAATCTGTATCCAATTCCACTATTGTTAGCATTAAGGTGGAATAGAGGGTCGTGGCACCAGGTGTATGGTTGAAAAGATTTCTACCGTTGAGTTAAAATCAGACCTGAGGACAAACCAACGCCCTCATCTCGCCATTTAGAAGAAAGTGATAGATAATTCAACATCTCTAACAGTGTGTAGACGATATCCACAGATTCATTTCAATATTTGTATTACGATGGAAGACGTCCCTGCAGGACGGATGAAGAACACATCACGTCAACAGCAACAAGAAGAAAAAACAACTGTGTGTTTGTGTTTGATTCAGAATCCATCCCAACCTGCGCAGAGCGATCTACTGCCAGGCCATGGCTGCCGGTGGGAAAGCAGAGTGGGAATTTGCCTGGAAGAAGTTTCAGAACTCCAGCGACACCTCGGAGAGGGACCAGCTCCGCATCGCTCTGTCCTGCACCAGAAAGACCTGGCTGCTCAACAGGTGAAGCCAAACATGGTGCATGTAAAAGCTTCATCACGAGCTCTCCTGTGAGAAGGTGAGTCCCAAACACGTGAAGACAAAAAGACGTCATCAGTGTCTCCTTTGTCTCACAGATACCTGGAGTACACTTTGGACCCTGAGAAGATTCGTTTGATGGAAGTTGGTTACATCATAGAACTCATCGCCCAGAATCCCGCAGGGCAGGCGCTGGCCTGGAACTTTATCAGAGCAAACTGGGAGTATGTCCAAGACACGTAAGTTTCAATCTGGACAGCGTCTCGTGGTGGTTTTTACAGATTGTCTTGTTTTCCTGAGTCCTGATCACGAATCTGAGAATGTTTAGACTTGAACTGGAAGTCAAGACGATTTTCTTGTTTGTTCTAGTTTAATTTTTTCCATTATTAATTCTTTAGAGTCATTTGATTTATTAATAATATGAACATTTAACGTCTGTCAAATGACATCATATGATGGGGAGTCATCTTCTGAGCAGTAGAAGCTTTAGATTCTCTCTCTGTGGAGATTGACTGAACGCAAAGAATATTCCAACAAACTCTGGTGAAAATCGCTGCACGTGGATATTAGACCTGCGTTTGTCAGGGGACAGAAACCTGACACATCACTGAAACATCACTGAAACATCACTGAAACATCACCCATCATGAGGAGTTCATGTCAGATGTTTGCTCCTCTTCATTAGTGTAAAGTCAGCAGGGAGTCCGGAGGAGTCGATGTGAGAACACAGAGAGAAACAAAAAGTGGTTTCACACACGTAGAAGACAAAGATGTCGAGAGAGATCGTGGTGATGAGAGCCGACGTCTGTGTCGGTGTGGTGTCAACAAAGTGGCGTGGTCTGGAGAACCTCAACCTCAACATTTCATTTGCTGGTTTCTCGTAATATTCCGACTTCGATCTCTCTGCATTTCAAACACAATATTTTCAAGTTCTGATACTTGAGTGAGACAAAAGTTAAATGATTTTGTTATTTGTGGAACTTTTAGTAAAGTTTAAGTGAAAAAGACCACATTCTTCATTTTACGCAGACAGGTTGATCTTGAGATACCCCCCCTCTCAACGTGGTCCGCTAACACTCTGTGGTAAATGTCCTGCAGAGATAGAAATGAAAAGTTTAATCTGGACTCAGTGTTGATTCCACAGCTACATGATAAAGAGCAAATATACAGACTTGGGTTCATACAGCAGCAGGAAGCCAAATTATAATGTTAATCATTTTAATTAAAGTTGTAGTGTTGGTTTAGTCAGGAAAGACCTGGACCACCTCACAGCTCAAACGTTATTAGTATGGCCCATATTCACAAATCACAATTTGTCTCATAGAGCTTCAGGAGACACATCCTCTGTCTCCGACCGTCTCGAATGAGGAACAGCCTCAAAAAAACACTTTGACCAGTTAAAGCAACAACAGATAAACCTCGGAGAGAGTCCTGTGGTCAAAACCCTTCAATAAACAGCCAGAGCCATAAAAGATAAGACTAATAAGGATGTATCAGGTACAAAGCTCATCTCATTTAATCTGAGCTTATCATTTCTCTTTCCTTCATAAAGTCCCAGTGTTTGCACAGTTACACACAGCTGCAGGGGTCAGTGTCAAAGTTTCAATACACGCGACACACAGGTTTCACTTCAGGAGCAAACACTGACACCAAAAGAATATTTTCCAGTTCAGGTTTGTTTTTTTTTAAACTGCAGCAGCAATAAAAACCTTCCTTCATTAAAGTGAATAATAATGTTTTTATCTAAATCGACACCGTGCAACCTTTCCTGAGCGACAGCGCCCCCTGCAGCCACACGAGGTGATTGAGTCTGTTGAACGTCTGTCAAAGACCATTTTCAGACATGGACTCTGGAGAATGTTCTCACGAGGGGGCGGGACTTTCTCCGGAGTTTGTCGTTAGTCTGCAGGACGTCAACGTTTTCATTCTGCTGTGAAGGTCACAGGTCTTCTCTTTAAAAAACTCACTTGACGTCTTGTTTGGTTTCTTCTACGTGTGTGGCTCCGCTTTTTCATCGAGGGAGATATTTTTCATTGTTAGAAACGTGTTAGGAACATCGTCCACACACCCGCTCCCCCGCAGGGTGAATCCAGAGGACGATCTCCTGCTGTTTTCTCACATGGGCTCACTTGAACATTTTGTTGAGAGCTGTTTGTTCGTCTAATATTGTGCCCGCCTCTTTCTCCGTTGCCAGGGGTGAATACTTTTTGATCGAGGCCGTGACCAGGAGGTTCTCCACGCAGTTTGAACTGGAGGAGGTAACTAATGAGGTTTTATTACATTGTTGTGATATTTTCCAAGACTCTGTGACGTCAAACGATCCAGTCACGCACCAGTCATCGACATGTTATCAACTGAGTAACTGGGTCCACCCTGATATCTTATCAGACGTCTTTCTGTCATCGTGACCTCGTATGTTTCTGTTTGTTGTTTTTAAATCTTTTTATTTCCTACAAACTGAACGAACCGTTCATCACGATCCAAAGTTCCAGAACAATGCAACACGACATACATGTAAAACATAATAAACAGTCGCCACGATCAGCAGAATCATAGACTGTGAATAAAGATGGACGATTCGTCTCTAATCAGAAATGAGGCCAAAACAGCCCAGACAGAAAAAACGCCTCGGAGCGGAGTCTGTGCAGTGTCTATAACATGAACATTCAAACCAAGAACCACCTAAAGTGACAGAAAAATGTATTTTACGTGTACATGTCCCATCTGCTAACATGGAGGAGGCAGGGTATTTCCAGCATCAACGATGGTGGACAAGAGTTCACATTAACTCCAACTCCTGGAGGAACATTTCATGCTCTGATGTTCAGTAATTCTTGGACCAGAGCTGAACTCCGATGAATAATGAGAGTAATCAGGTTTTGGCAACAGAACAGGAAATACTTACGACTGATCAATTCTCGTCTCAAGTCAACACAACAATTAAAATCTGTAAATGAGACTATGAGTGAAATTGACTTTTCATTGACGTTTTCTGTTATTATTATGACAAAATGCCTCAAATGACTTTTCCACATTGTGCTTGAGTAGCGACACGCTAACATTACCGTCATCCTCCATCTGTTTGTGCAGCTGCAGCGCTTTGCGGCCGACAACGATCTGACTTACATGAGGGAGACGCAGGTCGTCGAGCAAATCCAAATCAACATCCAGTGGGTCAGCGAGCACAAAGAAAAGATACTCCAGTGGTTCGAAAGAGAAACGGGCTTAGAGTGACTGAAGACTGACACGTCACTTTTCACTGGTTTGGATGTTTTCAACTGAAGCTGAAAACTGATTCCAGACGGTTCACATCCACAAACAAGAACTTAGCGTGATTCTGGTCTGGAAAATGGATCTGTACGACAGAGTATCAGGGATAACATTATGAGTAAAAAATCATAGCCTCATTTTAAAAGAATAAAGTTGTGATGTTATGAGAATAAAGTCATAATATCCAGAGACAAAGTTGTAATTATACGAGTAAAAGTATTATTGTTTCAGCTCTTCATTCACTGCTTATTTTCTTTAAAGATTTGACGAAGTTCTCCTCAATTAGTTTTGTAATATTTCGACATTTATTTCTCGAAATCTCCGATTTTGTTTTGCAGACGTGGCCCTTTTACTCAGATCAGAAAATAATCATTCGAATAAATCCGACACCCGAGGAGGTGGCACTTGAGTTTATGTACAGAATAAGCGTATGCATTATTTATATTGTATGTTGCAATGGAAACAGTTATTTGTGATTTTAGTTTGAAAAAAAATCAGATCACATCACTTTATCTTGTTGCTTTTATCTGTTATCTGAAATATTTTACAGAAGAAATTTTATCCAAACTCATTTGTTCGATTCATTTTGTGATAAATCTGATGCAACGGTAAAGATTTGATGCTTCTAATTTCTGGAGCGAAAGACAGAAACCTGTTTATTAGTGTGTCAATATTTGTGTTATATATATTTTATAATCAAGAAAACTAATTATTGTTGTATTTTTCTGAAATTGTTATTTTAAATAATAAAATATCAATATTGTGCCGAACATGAGTTTTGGAATGTTATAACAAGATGAAGATGAAGATGATGATGATGATGATGATGATGATGGCCACTCAATACAAACCTTTTTCCTTTCAACCTTGACGATCACTTATTTCAGTTTGTTTCAGTGAAACAATTTGAAGCCAAACTTTGCAGCTGCTTTCAAAAACGAGAAGTGTTCTCAGGAGAGCTCAGCCCATCATCACTCTGCACACATTTTTAACACTGAGATCATGAAGTCATTTTCTGAGAGATCAAGAAAAATGTTGCGAAACGATCGATTTCTAAAATGTTGGTGATGTGAAAGGATTCCTGGATCTGCCTCCTGCTGCAGATCTGCATGAAACCTGAATGAGTTCTTCCCTGGAACATAAAACGTCCTTCCACTCTGTGACAACTCGTCTGTGTCCAAAAACACAAGACATCTAAAATACAGTTCGTGTCTCTCTTGACGTAACTTGAAGTATGAAGTATGATGCAAAAGATATTTTTAATATAATATTTAATAGCAGGGCATGGGGTTGCTGTTTTATTCATTGTTTTAGTGTCTATAACGACAAGAGTATTTACAGTCGTATAAAAGTGGATTAAATCCAAAGTAAAAAAAACAAGGTTCTGTTTCTGCATAACACCCAACAGCTGGATTCTCTTCAGCTGAAAGAGTCGAGTCCTGCACTGCAACATGTCAGGCCCCTGATGCAAGAGCTCCGACACCCCAGTGGAATGTGGGAGTCCAATCCGAAGACAGATAAACAGGAGCGGAGCCAAGTTGAAGCAGTTCCACCTGGAGGCTGGAGCGGGGCTGATAGTTTACTCACTCGTCCTGTGAGAGAGAAACAAAGACGGAGAATTGAGCCTTTCTCTGTTTATCTGAGGCATCACGGACATTTACATTCTGAAGCACAGAAGTGAGTGCAGACGAGCTTTGGTTAATGATCACGTCAAACATCGGGACGGGTGAAATGTGATCGCAGTAACTTCGTCTCTGTGATTGTTGTTGGTTTGGAGTTTTTCCCGCTGGTTTGGTTAAATGTAGGACTTTTGGGACATAATGAATTAAATTGAAGACATTCGTCAAGCACGACAGAAATGGAGGAAAATCAGAGTCCCAGAATTACTTCACTAAATTAAAGCGCTTGTCAGTTTGTGTGTGAAGAGCGACAGAGACGAGCAGACACACAAGCAGAAGACGTGAAGCCACTTGTCTACTTAATTCACAAAGTAATTACAAAGATCTAAACACACAAACATGTATAATATATATTTATATATTTGGAAATGTGAGTTTATGGTTGTGGTCTCACCCACTCATCCTCCTCCGCTCCCTCTCCGGCTCCAGACGTGTTTGTGCTGCCTGTCTCTGATTTATTGGACATAATCTTGTCCGTCCACGAAGCTCCGGCATTTCCATCTCCGGCAAAGTTACACTTGGTCACTGTGCCTCCATCCACTTTGGCTAAAGAGACTGGAGACACAAACGTGAATCATCGACCATCTGTGTGGAATCATGAAGAAGTAAATCACGGTCACACAGACTCACATATGAAAGGACTGTTTCCTCTCGTCTTCAGTCGGACGTCCTGTCCTGTTTCCAGCTCGGTTTTGTCCATCTCCGTCTCCGGGTACCAGAAGGCCCAGGTGCCGCTGGGTCGATGCTTGTCGGATATTTTCATCAGCTCATCTTTGTTGACCATCGTCGACAGCTGCTCGTGGGACAGAATGTCCGACTCGCCTTTAGCTTCCACCTCTGCGTGGACACACGATGAGCATCCAAATAACCATCAGCCGCAAACACACGACTCCATTAAAAGAACTAAAGAGATTCACTACAGATCAGATACCACAAATAACTGAGTTCATCCTCGAGTCAAGCGGAACGTTTGTGCCACATTTGAAGAAAAACTCCTGCAGGAGTTAGTTCTTGAGACATTGCGTTGACAAGAATGAGACAGAAGGACAATCAGAAAACATGATGCCTCTGACCACTGTCCCCGGCCTGGAGACAAAACAACAGATCCTGAATATGATGGTTTGAGTAGCTGCTGACGCTGATGACGAACAACTGGAAATCTTAAACTACAACAACCCAGAGGACAAAACACAGACAGAGTCCAAACTGAATTAAGTCTGGGGAGCAGAGAAAACATTTACTCAAATGTTTACTGTTGTCTAGACGTGGACTCACTGTAGGAGGACATGAGGAAGCCGGTGTTGACCTTTTTGGTGTCACTGAAGTTCGGCTCGATTTCATTCCCCCTGGCATCGAACTTCCTCTGGTGGATGCGGCCGGGTTTTATATACAGCACGTAGAACCGGACCTGTCAGACAACAGCAAAGACGGACTGTAATTTTCTGTCCCGTGTGGTGTTTATGTTTTGTCTTAAATGCAAACACTCGTCTGATTTCCATCCGAGTGTGTCGGAATCTTTAAACACTTCTCGTAAACCTTCAGGGGTTGGTTTGTCTGGATAAGCAGTAGGTGGCGCTAATTTTCCAGTCAGGCGCCAACAAAGCACGACAGAAGAGAGCACGATGAGACGATGAAATTAAAACAGCATTCATCGTGTTTCCGTCTCTACTCTCTCCTGGAGTCTGAGACACATGATGACATCATAAGTGTTGATCAAAGACCCTGTCTGTGGTTTGAAACTTTACCTTTTGATTTCTGACATCACTGATTGCGTGTCTGGAAACATCCAGCAGCTTTCCCTCAAGAAGAACCCCCGGGCCGCTGTGTGCAGGAAGAACAACGTGATATCTCAAAATGATTCTTTGCCGGTTTTTATCCTTCACGAAAGCTTTTGTATGTGGCGACAACTTCTTCTTCGTGGAAATTCACAAACCAAACTGCATCAGGATCAATGACTGTGAGTAAAGACGGATGACATAACAGCTCCTGAAAAGTGAAGCTGAGACAGACGTAGTTCAAGAGCCCGTCTCCTTCATGTTAGCGGATGGGACACGGACCAAAAGGTCTGTTAAAGGTTCGGTGAGTAGCATTTAGTGACATCTAGAGGAGGAGTTGCATGTTGCAGCTGGATACCCCTGAGAGAACCTGTGGAGACCTTCAGTCGTCATAAAACCTCTACAGGTGTTAAGTTTGTCCAGTCTGGGCTACTGTAAAAAAACATGGCGGCCTCCGTAGAGAGGACCTGCTCTGCCAATAGATCCTTTCACTTAAATCTCACACACTGAACCTTTAAGTTCAGTTAATGCGTTACACAATGTTATAAACACTGCGGTGAAACTTCACAACGTATTCACGGTTTGTTGGGTGGGTGTATCGAAACCGTGGCTCCATTCCAAGATCACTATTGCACAAACTCTGGGTCCAAATTAAATCCCCAATTCAAAATGGCAGCTCCCGCATCCCGGATATTTTGGCTTCATATTTGTAAAATGGGAGGAGGTGGAGTCGTCCATCTTTTTACAGTCATGGATCAACACAGACGAACTCAAACCTTCTTTTTATCTAATACACCGTAAAGGAAATATTAAGTTTAATGCAATCTTCCACCTCACCACTAGATGCCACTAAATCCAACACACTGGCCCTTTAAACAAACAGGAAGTAGGAACATCAACACACTATTTACAGTTTGGTGAATCATTTCAAGCCAAATATAAAAGCAGTAATCACTTCACACACACACACACACAC